AGCGCTCTTACATATAAGATAGAAGCTCCAAGTAAGGACTCTAAAGAAACCGATGCTGTATCGAATTGTGGGGAAAGGACGCCCAGCAAGTGTTGAAAGTCTCGAGGCCATTGTGGGATGAATTACGTAATACGCGATGGTCCCTGCGCTCAGCCATTGAACCAACGCTCAGCGCTTCAGCAACGCCCCTACTGTTCGACCTCGTTTCGACCGCATCTTCCGAGTGAACCTTTCCTTTGGATCTCACCAGAGAGCTGTGAGCAATTTATGATACACTACAGTCTTGAACGGATACTGATTTGTCTTGATAGGGAAGAAGAACCATGTCGGACTCAGAAGTTTCGCTCTCCTCACCCTCTCAGAAATTCATACCGCAAGAAGATGACGAAGAAACTCTATGGGAGGTCATAGAGATCACCGGCGAGAAGGGGAACACGTACAAAGTACGCTGGAAGGGCGACGACCCCAAGACGATGAAACCGTGGCCGCAGAGCTGGGTGAACAAGGCGGACTGCACCGACGATCTCGTGATGGAGTGGAGGCGGAAACAGCGAGAGAAGAAGAAGCGCGGTAAGCTCAACCCTGCTCTCGCATTTTGAAAGGTCGGACTCAGGTCTATTTCTAGCATCCAAAGGCGGCCGCCTGTCCACTGCGTCGAAGAGGACCGGACGCGAGTCAACCTCGACAGTAGGCAAAGCGAGTACCTCGAAGCTACCTGCTACGCCCATGTCCAAGAGCACCCGTCGCTCGGCCTCCACCGCAACCGTGACCGAGAATGCCATCGCAGGGCGCTCTCGAAAGTCGACTTCCATTCCTGCAAAATCTCGCAAAGACGCAACACCAATAGCTGTCATCGACGATGATGAGGAAGATGCCGAAACGCCTCCGCCCAAGCCAAAAGGAACAAAGCGTAAACTTGCCGATGCTACCAGTGCCAATTCTTCAGCGAATTATGTATCAAAAACCACTGCTGTAGACATCAACGTCAATGAACGCGGAGAATCTCACAAGAAACCGAACGTCGCCAGACCGAAGAAGAAGAGAAAGGTCGAGGTGGAAATCGTCAAGCCAGAAGTGGAGTCGGAGGCCGAATCATTACTTTCCTATCCTCAAATCCAGACCATCGAGGATGAGAGTCACGACATCAGGAAACCAAAGGGACGACGTATTGTTCTAGATGAACATGTGGAGGCTCAGAAGCAGGAATGCGAGGAGGATGAGACGGAGGAAGAAAGGATGGTCGAGGATGCGCTATCGCAAGCAAGCTCTCCTTCTCCTCTAACTTATGATGACCACGACATGGACGACATTTATGCCACCGATGTTCCTGAGATTCCTCCACAGCCTTCAACCCCCACGCGCGCCACAGAATCGATATCCAAGGACAAGGGCAAAGGGAAACAGAAAGAGCCCATTCGTGCCGCCGCCCCTGCTGCCGTTCCTTTGCCAAATACCTCGCCAATAAAAATCGGGCCGCCATCGAAAAACCGCTCTCTCGCAAACCTACGGAAGGAAGCAGACAATTCTACCTCTACTCTCAAACTCAAAGCGAAAGCGAAACATCAGCTCCAAATCCAGCATACATCTGTTATTAATATCACAAGCGCGATATCAACACGCTCGCCTTCCATCACCCCACCGCCACCACCATTACCTAAAATATCCACGCCCGAACTCAAAAGTCGCGCCCAAACAGAGGAGCGCTCCGATGTTTTCGATGGTCCAGACGAATTCCAATACCCCGAGCCAATACTATCACCCGCTGCCGAAGCGAGGCTTGCCCAATTCGACGAGGAAGTTATGGGTATTCCCAGAAGCCAAACCAGAGGTATAGTCACCAAGACTAACGCGCCTCAGCGCGATCATAGGCAGCAGACTGCCGTACCTCAACCTACGCTGGAAAAGGCCAGCTCGCTCAAGACAGCTACTAGCAGCAAAGCTCAGCCTCGCACCCTCGGCGCATCGGAAACAACTCACGGCAAAGAAGACGACAAACCGAAAGAAGTCGCAAAAGCGCCTTCCGAGGCGCGGTCTGTCCAACCATCTACCAGCACAAACACAGTCGTGCCAAACGCGTCAAAGACGCTCGTGAAGCCCAAAGACGACGCCAGTAAGCCCAAATCCAAATCAGCCAGCGCTGCACCGACCGCCTCCAGCTCCAAAACCCTCTCGCGCCAACCCACAGCGCCTCCGACGCACTCATACAACACAGACGTCGTACCCGAGACAGACGAATCGCAATCGCAATCACAAGAGGCCAAGGTACCCACATCCCAACCCGCTCCGACCGCCGACACCGCGCCACCACGCGAGAAAACCGCCACACCAGCCGCAGAGGCCCCCGCGGGCCCCTCCAAGACCAAGCCGCTCCGCCCGATACCCGTGCTGTCCCCCTCGACCTTTCACCCCCACCTCCCGGCGTCATCACTGCCGGAAGACATCTCCGAGGAGACAACCCTGAGCCAGCGCCGTAGCCGCAGCGCGAAGATCGGCGGTGACGCTGAAGAAGGGGAGGACGATGCGCCGATGAGCTCCATCGAGCAGTTCGACTCACCGGAGAAGACGCGTGTGCGGCCCACTCCGGTGATCATGGCGCCGAAGAAAGGTGCCAGTGGGCGGGGGAACGCCCTTGGCAGCAGCAGCACCAACGCGCGGCAGAGCGCGTCGGAGATCTGGGAATCAGACGTGGTGAAGCGCGGGGTGCAGATGGCGGAGGCGGCGAAGAAGCGGCGCGCGCAATCGTCGCGCGCCAGCAGCACCGAGGCGCCGCCGCCGCGGATGACCGTGGACGAGGTTATCGCGAAGACCCGCGGCCGGAGTGCGAGTAGCTTCAGCGTGCAGGATGCGGACCATTTTGCCGCGAAGCCGACGCCCATCGCGGAGGCCGATGAGGACGAGGACGAGCGCGAAGACCAGGATATGGGCGACGTATCCACGACCGTCGTGCCTCCCGCATCGGGCCCACATGCTGCGCTCGACGAGGAAAGCATCGTGCTGCAGGAGATGGAAAACGCCTATGTGGACCTGAATGGGGGTGCGGATGAGACGCAGGACGCGGACGACTCGGGCCCCGCTCCTCCGCCACTGGACCCTATACTGCTGAGGGAGGAAGAGGAGGAGTCGAGCCAGGATGTGATGATGGACATCCAGCGCGCAGAGCAGCAAAGGCCGCTGGATCTGGAGATGCTCGAAGGCGGCTGGGGCGTCGGTGCGCCTGTGGAAGTCCTGCCTGCTATTCCAGAAACAACGACACCTGAAGATACGCAAGCTGCAGCAAGCACTGTAAATCCTCCTGAAGTGGCGGTGGCCGCTGAAGTGATACCCGAGGTATGTTTATTCACTATTCCAGCTTGCTCGTATTAATGTTTGTTTTTTCGTTATCTTTTGTAGATCGTCGTGAGCGAGGTACCTCCTGTGCAGCCCTTGCCTATTGCAAACGATGATCACCCGCCCGTGCGTCGGAGCACGCGTTCTCAATCAAGATCTCGTACACCTATGCCTCAACCGGCTCGGACAAATGGTAAAGCAAAGAACAATGCTCCGTCGACGCCATCTATTGAAACGGTTTCTCGCTCGCCAGCTCCTCAATCGAATATTCAGGTAAGCGTAACTTGTCCATTTATCGGCACATTGCTAACTTACTCGATAACAGACCCCTCTTGATCCTGCGCCTGAAAATCAGCTGACAGCTGCCATTGCAAAGTTGGAAGCAGGGCTTGCTGCTGAACGAAGCAAACTTTCACGGCAGGACGCTGCTTTGCAGGAACAGCAACGCAAATCCGCCGAAATCGCCAAACAGAAAGAAGACGCAGCCAAGCAGCTTTCAGATCTGACAGCACGATACGAAGCGGAAAGAGCTGAATGGGAGAACGAGAAACTGCAGCTTACGGTTCAACTGGACTCAGCCAAGAAAGCAAAAATAATGGCGGATAAGGATAACGAGTTCTTCCGCGAACAATATGCCAAGGCCTCCGGATTTGTTTCTTCTGTCCGGGACGAGAACAAAGATCTAGAAAAGCGTATCAAAATCGCAGAAGAACAAACCCAGACTGGTGTCAACTTGGTCAAGGCGACCTTTGACTTGCGCGTCAAGGCGCTCGAGGAAGACGTCAGGGCATGGCGTAGGACGGCGGAATTTCTCATTGACAAAGACCTTCGCTCGGGCAATGACGAGATCCGGCGACGTGCAGCTGAAGAGCCCGAGCTGCGTGCACTTTGCCAACGACAACAAGTTTTATATGGGAAGGCTCAAGACCGTATTTCCGAGCTCGAGGCCGAGTTGCACGAGAAACGACGCGATTGTGGCGATCTCGAGGCTGAGGTGCAGGGTCTGAAAGCTGAAATAACAACATTGCATGTTGGCCTGAACGAAGCTTTATTCAAGCTCGATCGAATAGGGCGGGGCGATGAATATGGCAACGAAAGCATCGACGCGACCGGGAATGGACACGAATTCGTGTATAGTTGTAAGTGGAGGACGGAGAACGAAGCATGTCGGGAGGTATTCTCCACGATTTCGGTATGTTGCCTCTCTCTCCAAGAGGCCCATTCGCGCAATAACCTTTCCCATCATTCTAGGCACTGGAACACCATCTAACGACTGCCAACGGACATCTGCATCATAGCGATTGATGCACATACACGCTTGGTTTTATGCGATATTTATTTTCATTGTATTTTATCATTTCTCAATATGGATCTAACGGCTAGACTTGTGTGCTAAGTTGCGTTAAGTTCAGCTTAAGTTGTTCGCTCGATGCCTGACGGACTGGCATTAGCATTCAAAATCGAGCTCAAGAAAGTTGGCGGGTAGATCGAGATCTCAATATTCAGCGTTGACATTTCGAGCTTCAACGAAGTTCAAAGTAGACTGTAAAAGTTCAAGTCAGTTAAAAAAAAAACCAGCACCATTGCACCAGAGTCCAGACGTCCTGCCTGACATATGTAATTCAGTAAAAAGCGTTGGCACGGGAAAAATAAATCTTTGATGACATTGACGATGTCGGTAGCTGGAATCGAACCAGCGGCTCCTCGGATTGGCCTGGCCACAACGAGGTGATTTAACCCCTAATCGATACCGACGATATAAGACACTTTGTGCTCATATACTTATCTTTATCATAAAGGTATACTTCCGCAAAACCGCTAGACTACCATTTTCATCGGAGTCACGCCTTGTCTGGCCATTTACGCCAAATTTACGCTGGCGGGTGGCCTTTATCAAAGAACGTATTCTGCTTTCTCTTGCTTCAAACCCAAATTCTGAATCTGCGTCAAGGGAATCATAGAAAGGTGTACAAGTTAAATTTATTGATATTCCTATGCTCTCTTCCCAACAATATACAAGAGATTGCTTTTGAAAAATAGTATTTACAGTACTATGAAGACCGCTTTGCCCCGGTCGGGTAGATTCCAGGTTCAACGCTCAACTCTGACTCCAACTGGTCACCGTTGATGCAAACCCATTTACGTTGTTCGACTGATTGATCACTCCTGCGCCATTTACGCTTAGTTGATAAGTTGTCCCCACACTCGATAAGCTGTAGATGCTGATTCCTGTTGACGCGGTATCGATATTGGCATTCTGGGTCTGGCAATTTGCTGGGGTGAGACAGGTTTGTACGTAGTTCTGGTTTTCAAATGAACATAAGTAAGCAAATGGCTAGATAGATGGTACTCAGGATATGGAGTCAATTACCTGGTAGAAGCTATACAAGCCCGCGCCGAAAATGAATATGTTCTGTGAATTTGTGATGGAGAGACCCCAAGCGGAAGGAGTGCCAGAGAATGGAGTTGGATCGTGATATGTGGTGCTCAAGGCGAACGGCGATGGTGAGGCGGGGCTTGGTTGGTAGTATGGCTAGAAAAGGTAATCGTTAAGGTCAAGTATTTTGAAGGAGAAAATCCGTCTCACTGTTTCTGTCTGTATGAGGCCCATGTAGTGATTAGCAGCGTTGGCAAGGTTGTACTGAACTATAGTGTGATGTTCGACTTTGCAAGAACGAGTAAGATACGATGTTGTATATGATAACAAATCACATTCACATACCAGCTGTGCCGATTAACCATACAGGACCTTGAGATTCAGAAAGTAGGCCGCGACCAGCATAGACGCTGATTTGGGCGCTTGCAGAATTATCGAGGTCATGATCTGCCACCCAGATCCAAGTACCCTGAAGAAGATGGAATCAGCAAGCTAGACGCTTCCAATGAGGAAAACTCTAACCTCGAGGTATGCAGTAGCCTGAGATGTCAAATGCAGGCTGAGGAAAACCCCTGAGCACGCAGAAGGGCTTCCAGATCCACTTGATGGACATGTACCGCTTTGTAAATTTGTTCCGATGGCGCCCCCAATCCTAACATCGTTCCAGAATCAGCAACTGATTATGAATGGTAACCATGATATTCAAATCTACCTGAAATGAGTGTCCCACATTCCAGCGCCTGCCTGAACACCAGCAGGATCTTTGACATTCCATTCCACAAGAATAGCTCCAGCAGCTATGATGGATGGTTAGAGTGGATATGACCTGTCAAGACGAAACAGACTAACCAGGCCCGACCGTCGTGAAGACAATATCAGTAATTTCCGTGACGCCCTGCGAGCCAGTATCTCCAACTCGGAAAACAGCAGTGGGGCTATTCTGATTCTGGAATGCAGAACCTTTGCCGGCGAGAACTGTCCACGCCTCTCCGACTATTTGTGTTCCGGCAGGAATAGTGATAGTACTCGTCACAACATAAACCCCAGCATCGAAGAAGATGATTTTGCAACCAGCATACTATTGACGACATCAGAATAGCGTTCTGTCGGATAGAACAGATAAGACGCACCTTATTGAGTATGGCCACAATCGCAGCTGTATCGTCCGTAACACCATCCCCGACTGCGCCATTATCTCTGACGCTGACGAACTGGCTGACGGCATAAGCGGCATACTGGGGATGGGTTTTCCCAACGATCCTTCCGTTGCTATTGAGGAGACTGGAGGCCTTGCTTGGCGCGGGTATATTACCCTGCGTGAAGGCACGGGTTCCAGAGGTTCCGTGGTAGACGTTTCCTTGCCCCCATGACGCGATCGTGGTTGTCCCGCCGTTGAGAACGACAGCGCCGCCAACAACGCCAACGGCAACAGGCACGTTGTTCAGCTGGACGTTGTTGAGGACTAGCGATCCAGCCAAAGATCCGCTGCTTGCTTGAGATGTGCGTAGAAAAATCGGTGTATTGGTGGCAACAGAGTCGATGATCGCCAAGCCCCCTGCAGACTGAAAGGGACGGTTAACTGACAGAATGTCACAAGTTGAGATAGAAGTTCGTACTTGAGTACTCTGTGTGAGGCCTCCTGTAGCGATATCGAATCCAACTTGGCAATTGACGAAGTTGACTCCCTGGTAGGTCCATCCTGAAAGTAGTCTGTATCAGCTACTGCCGGAGATGAGTTTTCGATAAACCGTCCTTACCCCAGTTCCACAAGGCATAGATACCAGTTTGGGCATTGTTGACAGTAACGTTTCGAACAGTGAACCTAAAAGAACCCATGGGCATCTGCATCGTCATTAGGGGAATTCGACCTACTGTTGATTTCCACCCCATATTCCGTATTTGCCTAAATTGAGAACGAACAGCATGACATTTTTGAGTATAAGCAACAGAACGTATCTCAGCAATTGCTTACCGCCATTGAAGACAAGATCACCCATGAAGCCACCACTTGAAAGTAAAAATGAGGTCAGGTTTTCACATCTGTGAGTCGGATCATATACCTTCCATTTTCCATCCAAATACCTAGGTAGTTCGAGAAGCATGTGAGTGCGCGTTCTAATTTGAGTAGTAAAGATTTTACCTTGATGAGCCGTGTTTGAAGCAGTAGACATTTGCACAACGATATTCATCAGAGACGTGGCTTGAGAGACTTGCCAGTGAATACCCGTTCCTTGTGAATTGGTGGCGGGAACTCTGAAGGAAAAGCTCAATAAAACAAATTCCTTGAAATGACATGATGATATACGCACTGGCGAACATCGATCACGAAATTTCTAACTGAACGGAAGCTGCCCCTTACAGTCAGCATAGCGGGTACATAGAAGAGCGAATAACCTACAAATTGTTCTGGTTGACCCAATATTGCGCGCCACCTCCTCCAGGAATGTACGGGTCGGCATCTGCGAAGAAGAATAATGAAAAGGTGGCACTTTTGAAGGCAAGATACTGGTTATTACCTATCACTGCCATCCCGCTGAAAGACGCAGAAGCCAGAAGAGTCGGAGGATTCTTTGCGTCTCCGATGAGTTGTGTGTAGTAGTAAGGAATAATCGGAGCAGAAACGAGATATGTTCTTTCATGAAAAGGCGTTAAAATTAATGGATGACCTGACGAATAGATGTTGCATACCCTGCCGGAAAGTATACAATTGCCGGAGAGACGCTGATAGCAATTTAGTGAGTATGGTAATCATATGGTAGGAGGAAAACGTGCTCACGTCGAAGACTGGCAACTTCCACCACCGCATCGGTTTTGTGAAGTGATTGCAGCGCTGGATGTATTGCATTAAGCCGCAGAATACCAATAATCAAACATCGTCATTCACTTAATTGCGGCAGTATCATCAGTAACTCCATTACCGACGGCGCCGAAATCCTACAGAAATAAAATAAAATTAACAAAGAAAAGATAACTCCAATATCTCTGTACTCACCTTAACATTCGGAAAACGGTGTACGTACTTGGCTGGGGTTGAAAGGCGCCTTCCCTGATGTTTAATGCTTTGCAACCAAAAAGGATCAGTGGCAGCAGCCGTCCCCGCTCCTAGTGGCGTGAGCATGTCGACCCAGAGCAGAAGCAAAAGGGGTTAAGGCCAAGACGATGCTGCTGTCCGCAGAATACTTTGCAAGGAAAGCATTGTTGTCACGATGCTCTTGTCAAAAAACTGGGTCGAACCTTCACGGCCTTTATATCCAGTCTCTTAGCATTTTTCCGATGAGTCGTCGACAGGTAGTGTGCACCATGCTGTGTCAGATGATTTTCCTACGTGCGGGGCTCGGCGCACACAAGCTAAGAGAGGTAGTTCGAGCCATGGCCTTGAAGATCAACGTGGTGTGTTCCTATCATGTGGGGTTGTGTACCACAACACACCGGATTGTCATCTGCTGGTATCTCTTTCCTGCGCGTAAGGATCATGCTGGGTTTTGGAATAAGATCTACAAAACAGAATGGAAGTGCCAAATCTGGGCTTGGATTATCTGCAGCGAATGAGGAAAGAGTAGGCTATTTACTCTGTTTGGTTCTGGAAAGCGCGTCTGCGATATTGCTCATGTGGAGTGGGGAGGACCTTCCTTCGTTGAATATCATATCCGAAAGTCCCGAGTGGTTGCTATTAGTTGCTATTGAAGGCGAATAAGATATTCAATATAACAATAGGAAACGATATTGAGAAGCTTACATGTACATATGTTTATATCAAGTTCTCGAGATTCAGGTCCGTAGTCAATGCAAAAGGCGAAGACAACTCAGAGTGAGCAGTGTGACTTTCATTGCATACCACCAATAACGGACATAGCGGAACTTGACGATTCCCATCACAGAAACAGGATAGTTGACTTCTCAAAAGTACTGTTCGGACCATGCAAAATAGACGTTGCCGCCTTTTGAACCACAAGAGCCGAAAGAAGGTCGGACAAGGATACACTGACAGTGTCGTCATGAGTCCAACTCAGAAGTCAAAAGCAAGTCAAAAGGTTATAGTCAGCAGAGTCGCTCTGCAGATTCCAGAGCAGAAATGCCAGCAAAGCAGAGCGCCGCGCAGATGCTGCATCCCCATAAGTACTCGGGCAACTTCAGCGCGAGGAAGTGGAACGACGCAGCTGTGCCGCCTGACAACGTCAGAAGCACCGATACAGAAGAAGCTGTAAAGTGCTGCGAAGGAGGTAGATTGCCTTTACTCAGCATTATATGAGGTGCTCACTTCGCTATCAGCAGGACGCGAACCCACATGGCCAGAGTCTCCCCTTCGACAAGCACATTGACACGCGCGTACATCGATATGCTACGAGAGCGGACCTCGTGGATCGAAGTACCTCCATAT